CTAGAATAAACAAGCAAATGAGCAACCCTTATATAAAACTGACACCTTCCCTTCCCCCCCCCCCTTTTTTTAAGTTTTACTTATTTAAGTGATCTCTACACCCACCGTGGGGCTGGAACTCACAACCCTGAGATCAAAAGTCACGCGTTTCTTCTACTGAGCCAGCCAGGTGCCGCATGTGGACTTTAACTACCTTCCTTTTCTCCTTCCATCGATAGCACACCTACTCTGTGCCAGATACAGTGCTAGGCCCTCTTTCCACCAACTCATTCAATCTTCCATTTTTAGGGATGAATAAACTCTGGGTCAGAAGAGGTTAGGTAGCTTGCCTGATGGCTTCCAGCTAACAAGTGGCAGAGCCGAGATGCAAACCTGACTCTTCTGCCTCTCTAAATGGGGGGCTTTGAACCCTACTGCAGCTCCTTGTCATTGCTGTTGAAGTTCTGCTCCATGCCTTCCAGATGCACAGGGCCCCGCACACAGCAGGTGCTCCAGAAATGCCAAGTGAATGGATGAATGAGATACTTGTTGAGTTAAAGAATGAATGAATGAGTTCTTCATTACTTTGGGATGATTTGTTTTTGCACTGACCTGACTAAAATATAGGTTCCTGATGGGTAGGAACCATAGCACAGAAGGCATGTGGGCTCTGCAATCAGCCGGATCTGGGTTCAAATTCCGGCTTGGCCCACATTTGCTGTGCAACCTGAGCAAGTCTCTCAACCTCTCTGAGGCTATGTTTTCTGAGGTTTGGAAGCAATATATGCGAGATTCTATGCCTAGCATAGTGTAGGTGCTCAGAAAACACCTGCTAAATGGAATGGCACTGAATCTCAATTTGATAACAGAGTCTTGGGGAGGGCTGGGGGAGAGAAGAGTTAATTTTGATTAGGTGGAAGATGAGCTGGCATCAGAATCATTCGGGAAACATGTAGAATCCCGACTGCATGCCCCCCTTCCAGAGAATGAGATTCAGGAGGAATCCGCCTGATGAGCCAGACACTGGTAGGCAAGTGATCACCCTGGAACATTCGAATGGTCAGAGGAAATGTGTCTTGCAGCAAAGGTTGCAGAGGAAGGAGAGTGAGCCAGGCCTTGAAGGACAGCAGGACCTCCACCACTGCCCTGGATTTTCTCTGCCCGCTAAAGGACGGGTGGGTCCTGGGCCATCTCTGCTCCTGTGATGGGCCTTGAATAATTGATCAAGTCACTCAGTGAGAAGCTCATGAATTCTTAAACCCTTTTAAGGGCCTTCCAGGAAGGGACGGCATCCCCTCCAGGGTCTCTGTGGCCCTGTGCTCTCTCTATCTAGGTTCTGGATAAAGCGACCCCCCTGCTGTGGCCTTCAGGTCGACAGCCTTTTAAGGAATGGAATGTTTCCCCTCACAGGATCCCCAATTCTCTGCGCATATGGATTCTACGCCAGTAATTGGCCTAAAGGCAGTCTGGAGACTGTCCCCAGGACCCAAGCCCTCTAAGCACCCCCTTCCTCTGTCCCCATGCCAACCTGCCAGGACCCAGAGCTTGCAGGTGACTTGAAACCTGGGATGCTCAAGGCCCCAGCAGATTACCTCTCGCAGCAAGTAAATAAATTTTTAAAATGGAGAAATGCTATGGAAAAAAATAAGGCATTTTTTGTTTTATTTTAAGGACAGATTACTTAAGCTAGGGAAGGCCTCCTGGAGGAGGTGGCTTTTGAATTGAAACCTGAACCATCAAAAGAAAGATCTGGAGACAGACAGCTGCAAGCAGAAGGAATAGCAAAGACGGTGTCCCTGCAGGGACTTGGTGTCTTCCTGGGATGGAAAGAAGCCCAGTGTGGCCAGGGCACAATGAATGAGAGGGTTAGTGGGGTATAAGGGAGACGGAAGACTGGATCTACTGACCCTTATGAGGGCTCTGGGGAAAAGGGCAAAGATACCCTTCCTTCTGGATAGACATAGACCCTTATCTATACACAAGATTCCAGGAGAAGAGCATGGCTGAATTTTAACCTCCCCTTTCCTGTCTGTCAGGCCACCTTTTGCAGTGTGCAACATGCAGAACTGTACATGGAGGACCTGGGGAGTGCCATTATCTGTCTTGATGGAGCCAGACAAAAGGGGGAAATCGTAGCTCAGTGCTGGCCAGGTTAAATCTGAGATGCCATTAGCCATCCAGGAGAAGTTGCTGAGTAGATAGATGGATGTGCCCATCTAGAGCTCAGGCAGAGGTCTGGGTGTCCTCACTGGATCATCACACGCTTGGATGAGACAGTCGGTGGGGGGGAAAGCCACAGAGTGGTATTTGGGATGTGCAGATCTGCCTGTGAGGTGCTTACTAGTCTGTGGGAGAGGTCAACAAGGTGCTTAGAAATCAAAATTTAAGGAGACACTCCCTCCCAGGGTCACTTAAGTGCAGAGGTGGCACCTGAGAGTGGGTGACACCTAAAAATTCGTGTCTTCTTAACTTTAGTCCCGGTCCCTTGTAATTCAATGGCGAAAAGGTAGTCATGACAACTAATGGTGCTGGTACACTTGGACACTCACTTGGGAAAGAAAAAAAAGAACCTCACACCTTCCTTCACACTGTATATAAAAACAAAAATAGGTCAGAGACCTAAACATAAAAGCTAGAAGTATGAGACTTAAGGGGGGAAAAAACAGAGAAAACCTTCATGACCTTGGGGTAGGTAGGCAAAGATTGCTTAGGCCACAGAAAGCATGAACCATAAAAGAGAGAAAAAAAATCAATTGGATTTTATCAAAACTAAGAACTTTTCTTCCAAAAAAAAACACCGTTAAGAAAATGAAAAATGCCGAGGCCCAGAGAGACTGTGTGTAGTATAAATACCTGACATAGGACTTGTTTCCAAAACACGTAAGGAACTCTTACGACTCAATAATAAAAGGACAATTGATCCAATTTTTTTCAATGGGTAAAAGACCGGAACAGACCCTTCACAAAAGAAAATACATGAATGTCCAAGAGTGAGCAAGTGAAAGTGATGTTCAAGGTCCATCGTCATCAGGAAAATGCAAATTGAAACCATAATGAAGCACTACTTTACACCCACCAGAATGGCTTTCAGTTAATAACAATGCCAAGTGTTGGTGAGAACACCAAGCTACTGGAATTCTCCTACACTGTTGGTGGGAATGTAAAATGTACAAACACTTTGTAATACAGTTTGGCAGTCTATTACAAACACACAACTAAGCCATTCCAATTTGAAAATAGAAACAAGATCTCTATACAAAGGCTTGTAGCCAATGTTCAATGTTTTACTCATGATGGCCAAAACCTTGGAAACAACGCAAGTGTCCATCAGCAGGAGAAAAGATACAAACAAGAATGGTCCATCCATACACAGGAACAGTATTCAGCAATCAAAATGTAACTACCTAAATATGCCACACCATGGATGATTCTCCAAGGCTGAATGAACAAAGCCAGACAAAGAAAAAGTACAATTTGTATGATTCCATCTATATAGAAATCTAGAAAAGACAAATCTTGTCTGTAGTGATAGAAACCTGTTCAATGTTTGCCTGAGGCTGGAGGTTGGTGGTGGGGGTTGACTGTAAGGGAACAAGAGGGAAATTTTAGGGGTGAGTGGAATGTTCTATATCTTGATTATAGTTCTGGTTACAGGGTGTATATATGTATCAAGACTCATCAACTTGGATCTGTAAAATAGCTACATTTATGTAAAGTATATATCAATAGAGTAATTTAAATACCTCCATTCAAGGTTTTGTTGATAACCTTTTAAATCCTTTGGTCCTCCTTGTTACTCTGAGTGTGGTAATGTCTGAATGTTTCTTCTCTTCAAGGACATTGTGGTTAAATAATCTGGTTCACGGCCAGGACATAATGGGCATTAAAAATGGACTCAGGGGACACCTGGGTGGCTCAGTCGGTTAAGTGCCTGCCTTTGATTCAGGTCATGATGCGGGGTTCCTGGGATGGAGCCTCATGTTGGGCTCCCTGCTCAGAGGGGAGTCTGCTTCTCCCTCCCCCCCTCCCTCTGTGATCTCTCTTGCTCTATCTCAAATAAATGAATAAAATCTTAAAAAAAAATAAAATAAAATGGACTCAGGAATTACCGGTGCATGAGGGAACTGGGGCCCAGAGGGGAGACACTTGTCTAAGGACACACAGCCCAATACAGGTATTGACTACAAGGTGTTGCTGGGGGGGCGGGGGGAGTTGCAGGTTTGGGTTTCAAAAAAATAGAACCCAAAGACGCAGAGGCAGACGTCCGTCTATCATCCGCTCACCTCCTGTCCTGTTTTCCTTCAGAACTGAGTCTTGAGAGAGGTCAGGGTGCCCCCCCAACCCCGAGCGAGGCCAGGCCCGCCAGGCGGGTAATTGCACAAACCCTAGGTCTGCAGAGCGTCTTCCAGGTGAGACGCTCCCTCACCAACACCCCCGCCCCCCCGCCCCAGCCTAAGAGCACAGTCTTCACCAAGCAGCGAGGTCCACCCGGTGCAGGTCTCTGCACCTCCATCATTGTTCACCTCGCCTCCCAGGGTTCTGCGAAGAGCAATGACAATGGTTGTCTGCTCTCGCTACTCTCATGGAACCTAGAAGTTCTGCTCGGGAAAGTGAGGCAAGGCAAGGAAATAAAGAACAAGCCGAGCTAGCATCCTTGAGCCCAGTTCCAAGGCCGGAAGCACACTGAACTCTAGGCACAGAGCTGGCACGGAAGCTGGGTCACCCTGACCCTGATCCTCAAGCCCCAGGTAAGGCACACCACCCCTCACGGGGCGCCAACAGCGTTGTACTTGAGGTCCAGGTCGGTTCCTGCTCCCACGAGCTGGGCGGCCTCCGGCCTCAGTTTCCCCACTTGGCCCCCACGCAGGAGAGGATCTGGAGCGCGCAGGGGTTCGGCCGGGCCCCGCCCTTGGGGTGGGGCTGGGGGTGGTCACGTGGAGGTGCTCCCCGGCCCCCGAGCCCCGCCCCGCCCCGCCCCCCGCCTCGGCCGGGTCTGGGTCTGGAGCCAAGGCGCAGAGCCAGCCGAGGTCGCCAAGCCGGGGCCGCTGAGCTCGGCGGCGCCGCGGGGTCCGGGGTGCCTGCTCGCTGCTCCACCCGCTCCCGGCCAGCTGTGCAGGCGGCTGGACCCGCCGCCGCAGCACCAGGAGCAGCAGCGAGGACTCGAGCGCGGGCGGCAGCGGCGACACCATGGATCTGTCCTTTATGGCTGCGCAGGTAACGGGGCGCCTTCCCCGCGCGCCCTGGGCTGCGAAGTTTGGGGAGGTTCGGGGACAGGGGCTTGCCCTGCGCCGGGAGGCTTCGAACCGGGCGGTGGCCCCCGCCGGGGATCTACGTCCCGGTCCTTTGTCCAGAGCCGGGCATCCCCAACCTGGTTTCTCTCGTCCGAGGCGGCGAGCGCGGCTCCCGGGGGTGGGGCGGGCCGTGCGCCCTGAGCACCCCGGGTCGATCTGTTCCCAGACTGCGAGGGGCCTGGGCGATGCGAGTCGACCCCTCCCTGCCCATCCGCTCCCTGCAGTCCCCGCTCCAGGACCCAGGACTCCCCCAGGGCCGTGCAGCCCAGATCCGTGCAAACCCGGGTGGGTGAGCACCCTCGCTGTTCTCCATTCCCTATCTTCACGAGGCGCAGGAGACGTCCGGCGCCCCCCCTCCCCCTTAAGTGGAGACCACAGCCCCAGCAGCCTGAGGAAGGAGGTGAGACCGGCTCTGTGACCAGCCAAGCGCCAGAGCGCAGCGATCCTTTTATCCCTTTTTTTTTTTTTTTTTGCTTTGTGCTGAGTCTGTAGCCATCAGTGCCCAACGCGACCATAACTCTTCCCTTGACACAAAACAGGTTGCCAATGGCAGGAAAAAAACAAATGACCTCTCATCACTTGATCCTTGCTGAAGGAGAATCCCCTTGAGTTCTGAGCGTTGGGTGATCTTTATGTTTCTGTGCCCAACTCTCATGAGCTAGAACAAAGGCGGGCAGACACCCCCTTTGCAGAGCTGCCTGTGGCCTCTCCCGGGACCCAGTGCTGGGGACAGTCTGGCTCCAGGAAAGGCCACATTTGGTCTGGGCGAGTAAATCTCAGTGTATCACATTCGGACCTTGCACCTTCTATGAGTTAGTTATGTTGGGATCCCAGAGGTAGGAAGGCCACCGGGGTCCCTCTGTCCCCTGCATGTGTAGCAGGGGCCCCACTTGCTGTTGTTTAATTTTCCAGGGAACAGATTTCAAGAGAACACTTTCCTTTCCCACCCCCAAATTTCACCCCAGTGGAAGCCTCTTGAAAAAGTAACAGCAAAATCCAGTCTGTATGGACAGCGAGTCTCTGAACAGTCATGGAAGGACGCAGAATCCCCAGGATGGTTTTAGATCCCAGCTCTAGGCAGCCTCTTGTTTCGTTTTCCAAAATGTGCATTGCTCCAGTCAGCACCACTGGTCTTTTTTTGCCTAATTTTCTGTCTCCTGTTCCTAAACCCACGTTTATAAATATTGTCATGCAGGCATCATTTTAGACAGTGGTGACTTTAGCTACAGGATAACTAGAGTGGCTTCACCAGATTTATTTCTAGGGGAGAGAGGAGCTCGCACAGGCCTGTCTTTGCCTGCCCTCCTCTGGATCCCACCAAACAGCTTGTGTCCATGGTTACGAGATAAATTGATCACTGCTAACCCTGGGGCAGACTGGAGCATCAGAAGTTGCTATGGTAACCTGACAAAATAAACATAGGGCTTTTCTCCATCTGTAGGCAGAGCCTGCACAGAGATTGGGTTCTTTTTTTTCTCTCTCTCTTTTTGGTTTACTCTCAAGTTTTGTGTGCTCAGTGTGTTCCTGCCAACAGATATTTGGGTATAGATTACATGCGCAGGCCGGAGTCAGTTGCAAGGAACAGAAACATGATGAGCCATCACGTGGGGAGAGACGCTGAAGTTTGTGGAGCCCATGCCGTGTGCCAGTCGCTTGCACACTTTATTATAGTAAATCCTTACAAGTCTATGACATGGGCACTGTTATTCCCCCTTTTACCGATCAGGTTACGAAACTTCAACAAGATTAAATAATTTGCCTGCTTGGTGCGTGTCACCAAGCTTCTGTCCCCACACATCAGCAGTGGACAGTTTGACAGGGAAATGTTAATGCCTCCATCTACTTGTTTGGCAAAAGTTGGGTACCTGCCTTGTGCCAAGCTCTGTGCCAGGCATGGGGTGGGACTGGAGTGCTGGCGATAAAGTGGAATAGGATGTAGATTTTCTTTCTGGGTACTTACAGAGGACTGGAGAAGTGACGGGCCTGGCCATCCCCAGCAGGGGAATGGATCAGGGGATCAGAGCCGGGTGGACCAAGATGCTCTGCACATAGTAGGCCTTCAGCAAGTTTCTGTTAGATGATTGGATGGGGATGAGACAGGATGCATGTGAATCGTGAAAATCAAGAACAGGAAAACAGTGCCTTTGCTGTGTCGGATGCCCCTCCCCCTGAACACCTGTCATCGTCAGGATTTGGAGGACGTGAGTTCTGATAGAGTAGAACTACTGGTGGATTCTAGGCGGAGAGGCAGGAGGAGGGAGGCCTGGAATATATTCACAGAGTCCTTCAGGAAGGGGGAAGGTAGGGGCTCAGGACAGCTGGGAGAGGGGGGCTGGGGCCAGATCACAGAGGGGCTGACTGTGGAGTGGGGAAGTTCACATGCATCAGCGGGCAGTGGGAGCCATTGCAGGCCATTGAGCAGGGAAGGGTTTGTGATTGAAGCAGTGCTTTGGGAAGATCCCAGCCCAGTGGAGCATAGTTAGAGGCATGAGTGAAGCCAGAAGGGCACACCTGCTTGATTAATTGAGTGACTGAAACCAGCTCCCTGTGGCTCCAAAAGCTCCTCCCCCTCCTCAGTGTTGTGAACTGTGAGTCCTGTTTCTGGCTTTAAAAGACTCAGAGGATATAAGCCATTTCAGAAAGATTTGCCTCTCAAACGCTAAGCATTATGAAGACACCTTTTATGTATGGAAAGAGTGGACCCGCAACTCCCCTGATGCAGATCTGCCCTCACTGGTGCGGGTACATGGGGTTGTGTGATGGGGTTTGGAAGAGGCTGTGGACACTGAAGGTGTGAAGACTCAGCTTGTGGACCCCGCCTCACCCCCTGAGCCCCGGAGGTGCTCAGCCGACCTTTCCTCCACTCTGGACACACCCCAGCCCCTCTCTGCACAGTTCCTGGGTCCCCAGACACCCTGGTGGGTTGAACAGTAAACAGGAGCACCTGTTTTTCTATGACCAGCAGTGGCCGGAAGGGCAGGGCCGTCCAGCCGCCCAGGGAGCTGGAGACCAGGAGGACAGCACAGATGTTGAGGACTGAGCCCCGAATCCCTGTGTCATTGGTGGGGTGGCCCTTACTCCAAAGATGACCCTGTTCTCTCCCTCCCCCTCACGGGGGCGGGTGGGGATCTGATTCCCCTCCCCTTAAATCTGGGTTGGCATCAGTGAATTTCTTGACCAGGAGAAGGCCGTGTGAGTGGCGTTCTGGAACCTCAGAGACTAGCTTTGAAGAGGACTTCGGCGTGCGTGGATGGCTCCTAGCGTGCTTGCTCCAGGGGAAGTGCAGAGACTCTGAGACCTCCGTGATGAGACGAGGAGTGAACATTTAAGGGACCTACTGCGTGGGCAAAAATGAACAAGAGGGGGGCGCCTGGGTGGCTCAGTCGGTTAAGTGGCTGCCTCCGGTTCAGGTCATGATACCAGGGTCCTGGGATCGAGCCCCGCATCGGGCTCCCTGCTCAG